GTCAACTCAACGTTCCATCCGATATTAAACAAATATTATCTTTTTAACAACCCAAAAACAAAAATACAGGTAAAATTCGCAGGAAAATTTCGGGCCGATCAGCCTGTCTCGTACCCCTCCCTCACAGGCCTTTGGCAGGTACGCCTATACACATGATGGTGCTCTTTGGAGGAGTACACTAATATACAATTTTTACTGTCGATTTTGTCATGCTGTGGACGAGATTTTGATTAACGGAAATGTCTTTCTTGTACAGAAGATTTTTATTCGTACAAAACAACAATTTTGTGCTGTGAAATGTTGAAGTGATGGCATTGTAAAACTAAGGGTTACATGTAAAATTTCAAAGAATGAGATCAAAATAAAATAACTCAGATAGTCGGCATTTAAATCTACATCTTTTTTTTATAGAGTTATGTTATACTATCTCATTGACGATACCGTACCAATTAATTACCTTGTATATGAAGTGGTAGCAGTGGCGGTAGGTGTAGGTCCTACTAGAAGTGTTAATAGTTTGGTATATTTGAGATTTTCGAGTGTGGCTTTAAACTAATGTTATTGAAATATGATTTTTATCCCTTTATACTAGGATTTAAGAATTCGTTATCTCACTATAGATATAATTCTTGCAAGATTTTTCTGGAAGAGGGCGGATGGAGATAATGGTGATTTCACAGCCCCTTAGTTGTACCCCTGTTCCAGCAAACATTGTATGTTGTGTGTTAATAACATTGCCTGACTTCTTGAAGGTTCAGACTTTCTGGACCAGTGACCCCGATTCTCATCATATCTTACCATAACAATTTGTCTAAATGTAACATTTGACATTGAAACAAATCACACTCACAACAAAAGACGATGGTTATAATCTCGTTTAAAACCTGTCAACGCTTTCCGATTGTCAGTGGCTGACCCCTTTCAAAAAATATCTTTTAGAAGTCAATGTCGTTTATCAGATCTTTTTTCCTTTATGATGACAATTAAAGTGAAATAGAATTCACATTACCATAATTGTTAATCGATACAACCGGATGTAAGCCATCTTTAAACCGGAAGTTATCTATTGAGTACCGGAAGTGACTTGTCTAGTTTGAAATGGAAGCTAAGTGTATGACGAGGAAGGACTATAAATGATGTGGAAAGATCGACAGGAACAAAAAAAAAAACAGCATCAATGTTTTGTCCAATGTTCTAAATTTCACTGTTCAAAGATTTGATTGCGAATATTCAGCAAATTGATAAAAGCGGATCAAAAGACACTCGGGTATTTTGGAGACTCGGTCGACAGCAGAGAACACCAAGACACTTGAGTATCGGTGCCAATGAAACACAAATAATTTTTGATAAATAAAGAAAAAGAAAAATCGTTTGCACTGCACTTCATTTCTAAATTTGGAACTATATTTCTTTTACGTGTTTACCCTAAAATATGTGTCAGAACTCACCCAATTAATTTCTTCAAATTTTTACTTGAGGATAAACCTCTCAGAAACTCCACATTGGAGGCTACTCCTGCTTCCACAAAGCAGAGGAATTTTGAAACAAGTCGGTCTTGGGAGGCTGTCGCCGCGGCTGATTTGTGAATTTGTGTACATTGAAATATCCGCGTTTAAATATGGAGCAGATAGATATGATGTATGTTGTCTTCCTCAGAAATCCGACTCGGTGTTGACTCTCGACTCTTCTCAAATCTACCAAGCTAGTAATTTATTTTACCATACAAATCATTGGTCGACATTGACTTTCAATAAAATAGGATGCAAAAGGACAGTTGATGACGTAGATTGTCTTATCCTATAGCCGACCTGGTGTAGAATCCGTACCTAATCCGTGCCATGTTAAAGGTGATGCTACCTTTTCAATGTTAGACATTCTGTCGTCGAGGTGGTGATATCTCGAGCTGGTCTAATTAACTTAATGGTAAGAAAGATGATAAAGTGTATTAAGAAGCGTCAGAACTAAAAGGGAATTTTTGACGGTCGAAATCTGCGATATATTTCATAATCATAATAATCCCTTTCCATTGAACACTTGATGTATTCAATTAGACGATGACGTTTTTGTCCTATTTAAGGTGTTTTTTGTCATTTCGTTAAAAGCTTTTGTCATACCTATCAATCACCACGACTAGAGTAAATAATATCAGAAATATTCACAGTATCAGGTTTGATAAATTAGAAAAAAGTAATTTAGTATGACGACAGCTTGTAGCTTAGGATTCTAAATGGTGTTACATCTTCATCGTGCATCTTCATCGTAGACCTTCATCGTACACCTTCATTGTACACCTTCATTGTACACCTTCATGGTGCACCTTCATGGTACACCTTCATTGTACACCTTCATCGTACACCTTCATTGTACATCTTCATTGTACACCTTCATTGTACACCTTCATTGTGCACCTTCATTGTGCACCTTCATTGTACACCTTCATTGTACACCTTCATTGTGCACCTTCATTGTACACCTTCATTGTACATCTTCATTGTACACTTTCATTGTACATCTTCATTGTACACCTTCGTCGTACACCTTCATTGTACACCTTCATTGTACATCTTCATTGTACACCTTCATTGTGCACCTTCATTGTACACCTTCATTGTACATCTTCATTGCCACTAGGAGGTACTGACAGTAGGAAATAAAACTCAAATTCATTTCCTTAGAAATTAGTACGATTACTTCTTTGGGACTGGCTTGAAGCCGTTCGTATGAAAACCCGTGGCTGACAGGCTATGCACTCCTCGACAGTTGGAATGTCACTGTTCTGGCAAACCTTTCCCTGTTTGCACACTACATTGTATTGTCCATCTTCATTAGCCCATTTATTTTTCATTTCATTTATCGCACAGGTTAACTGTCATCTGTGCTATGTAGTTTTTAATTTGTAATATTTCAGTGCGATCAATCATGGAATGAAGGCACTCTAAGATTTCCCTGCAAATAATCTAAATTACCCACATTCTTATGTCAATAGACAGAAAATTGGAATTTAAAAGACTCGATATAAAAATTCAAATCAATCTGCAATCAACGTGAGGTAACTATAAATGTTGGATGAATACAAGTCGTTTAGAATCACCAAGTAACTTGATAACAGACTGTGAAAATTCCAGCAGAGACTCGTACAAATAGACAATCGCTTCTGTTGTGACACAATGTTCCTCGCTGTATACTGCATTGTCCGTCTGCATTTTCCACGCTAATAGGAGAAAATGAGGACGTAAAACTCCATTGCAATTCATTTCAGTGCCAACTAAGCCATCATTGTAAGGATTGGATCCAAATAAACTTGATGATTGGTCCGAGTTATTCTCCTAGGGCTTCTTCATAATAATACCTATTTAAGGGGGTATTCCGCTTTTTTGTAAAAAAAAAGTTATCATTATGAAAAACGTCGTAAATTATCCCTGAAAATATTTCTAAAGTGTGCTATTCATATCTATGTATCTTCTTGAACAAACTGAATTTGTGTTTTAAAAGGGTTAATTAGGCAGTTTGACCTAGTTTTGGTGTTTGGATTTATAATAGCTCAATATTATTAGTTGAAACAATTAAGCGTTTATTTTTTCTCCAATCCGTACACTAGTTTTTCTAACAGCCTTACAAAAAGCATAAACAACTTAAAAGATTTTAAATATTTTTGGCGTTTAAAAATTAACGGCTGGATTTTTTTAGTTAAAACTTTCAGATACGTTAAAGTGCACATTTTTCTAGATTTTTGCGGTACAGTTTTCAGCAATTTGAGCAAAAACATTTTTCGACCTCCAAACAAACGGAATATCCCTCAAACACTGTACAACAACTCTCTCTTCTACAATTTCATACTGGTCACATCTTTCTCAATCGTTTGTTATATTATATTCCAAGTTATAATGTCCACCTATAAACAACTCGAATACTTTTAACACTACTTATATTGTACCATATTGATAAGAACGGCCGGATTCAATTTTCCAAGTCACGAAATTCTATTTCCGGGTTTTTCATAATAATTAATTATATATTTGCTATCCTCGTGTTGTTCGGACAGTTAACCCTAGACGTTCGGGTGTATTTATGATACACAATAAAGACTATTTCTGATGTATTTATCACAGATAGATATTCCAACCAGAGTAGACAAATCTGTTTAGAAGATTAGAGATTACATGATGTGGAAACGATGTTGGACCCTGAGGAGGATCTGAATGGGTTCTCACCCCAGACAAATTTAGAAAATTAGAATTGATTTGGTGCGTAGTGATAACAATTTTGGGTTAGACACTATTTTCTGTGTCCAGTCTGGACTTTGTGTGATTTGCTTCTCATACCCTTATCTCAAGAGGTTATCAAAGAGCCCGCGTTGGAGACGACAGAAAACTCCAGAGAAGTGGCAGAGATGTACCCTCCTAGAGGATAACTTCGTAGGTAAAAACTAGTAGTTTATAGTTTATCTTCGAAACAAATAAACCAGTCCTAGAACTCGTTAAATGTATAATATATGGATATAAAATCTGAAATGACCAGGCTCCATGAATAATTTCCAAGTTGAAATATGAGTGTAGGATCTGTTTATCTCCAGGAATGAATCTTGAACAGATCTTATCAGTAATTCTGAACACAGCTCAGACTGAAGGTAACACGATATTTCAGACGTCTTATCATTGGTCAGAAGAATAAACAGATATTATTATAAACAGATAAACATTGTTATAAAATAAACACTTAATATAATTTATACTATGTTATTATAATATAATACCGATTGAACTATCTTAGTTATTGTAATATAAGACTTCCTGAGTTAGACTGATTACAAACAAGTTGGTCAGTAGACTTCCAGACTAATCCTTATGGTCGTAACTACGTTCAAAACGATCTGGTCTTCTTTCAGTTGTCCTCTTCATATTAAAAAGCATTTTAATCATACAATGTTGGACACAAATTTAGAAAAACTTTTAAAAATTCTTTTAGTCACAATTTCAGCTTTTATTTCACCCTCTTGAATATTATTCTTGATTCGATGATTCGATGATGATGATGGTGGTGGTGATGATGATGATGATGATGATGATGATGATGGTGGTGGTGGTGGTGATGATGATGATGATGATGATGATGATGGTGATGATGGTGGTGGCGATGATGATGGTGATGGTGATGATGATGATGATGGTGATGGTGATGGTGATGGTGATGATGATGATGATGATGATGATGATGATGATGGTGGTGATGATGATGGTGGTGATGATGATGATGATGGTGATGATGGTGATAGTTATGATGATGGTGATGGCGATGATGATGTTGCCACCGCTTGCCATTTCAAGTTTTTAAACGATTGACCCAACTAGATGACCTATCAGTCTAGTAATTAAGTAGATCTAATATTAACTATATATCTGTATTATTGACTATTGAGAAGTTCAGTTATACAATGTAATTATTCTGTCAGTAGAGTATTATTACTTAAACCAATTTCTAGTCCTATTATAAAGGTCAGTAGAGGGCTTTTCTCTCACGAAATCATTTCATTTCTATTGTATTACTGTAGGTCAGTAAGGTGATAAAAAATCCTGACCGGCTCTTGGATAAAACTTGGCCGTGGTATCAGAACTGTTCTTACTTTGAAGTGGATTCGAGGTTGTTTGAAAAAATATTTCGTTTCCACCAATAGAACTGTCACAGGATTAAAGTCACACTAAAAAAACAGTGTGACATTTGTTTATTTTAAAAGAAAAACAAATTGAGAGATAATTGAACTAGTATTGTCTGTTTATAGAAACACCAGACATCACCTAACTCTGGGTTATATTCTAGAGAGTGGTCCACTGTTGTATTGTTGTCTGTTTATAAAAACACCAGACATCACCTAACTCTGGGTTATATTCTAGAGAGTGGTCCACTGTTGTATTACTGTTTGTTTATAGAAACACCAGACATCACCTAACTCTAGGTTATATTCTAGAGAGTGGTCCACTGTTGTATTGTTGTCTGTTTATAGAAACACCAGACATATCTTACTCTGGGTTATATTCTAGAGAGTGGTCCACTGTTGTACTATTGTCTGTTTATAGAAACACCAGACATCACCTAACTCTGGGTTATATTCTACAGAGTGGTCCATTGTTGTACTATTGTCTGTTTATGGAAAGACCAGACATCACCTAAATCTGGATTATATTCTAGAGAGTGGTCAACTGTTGTACTATTGTCTGTTTATAGAAACACCAGACATCACCTAACTCTGGATTATATTCTAGAGACTGGTCCACTGTTGTACTATTGTCTGTTTATAGAAACACTAGACATCATTTAACTCTGGGTTATATTCTAGAGACTGATCCACTGTTGTACTATTGTCTGTTTATAGAAACACTAGACATCACCAAACTTTAGGCTATATTCTAGAGAGTATTCCACGGTTGTACTATTGTCTGTTTATAGAAACACTAGACATCACTTAGACCGAAACAACTGACTCTATTCCAGCCTCTTATAGCTATTTAAACAGATGTCAAACACACTAAATAGGCCCTGCTAAATGGAGATATCTCCGCAGGTGTGGAGGTTTTAAACGTATTAAGATACCTCGAATCTGCAAAACCAGATATATTTGGAAAGATGAATATTTTTGTAGTTCAGTCATCATAATATTCCGCCTTCACCATTTATGTCACGTCTCTGGTTCCATCAAAGTTTATTTTTAACGAAACTGATCTAGCATCGGCCATTTAAAACTACGTGCGCACCCAAAAGGTCAAAGACCACAGCGTCACGTGATTCTAACGAAACAAAAGCTACGGTGATGCCCAACACCAATAAACAGTCGTAAAAACGGATCTTCGGAGGTGTGATAAATCCCCATTTAACAGGATATATTTTTTCTGACACTATTCCAGCCGACAACTGTGAAAATGTCCATCAGATGCTGGAAAAAGGCAGATGTTTCGGATCTAACTCTGAGTTGTATTCTACAGGGTGGCCCATTGTTGTGCCAATTGCCTGAAACGATCTTAGCACCAGGAGGTCCTAAAACAGTATAAAGACCCTAGGGCGTCCTAGCGATAAGATCGTTTCGAGAATACGGGGCCATATAACTCTGGGTTATATTCTAGAGCGTGGTTGACTGTTGGGCCACTGTTAACTGTACTAGCTATTTTTGGGGGAGGTAGTGGTTCTGAAAGGATATATCAGAGTTTCTGTGTGATTACAATCTGTCGTGTAGTAATACAATTTATCACAACTGCAACTAAGTTAATGAAAACGTGTCCAGGTAACATTTATCATTCAAGTTTCTATCTTGGGATGTAATCATATTGGTAATCCTCTCTTAACATACATGGGGCAAGGCCCTACAGGGGCAAGGCCTGGTAATGTGGGTTGGGGATTGGGCACTGGGGGACTGCGTTTTGGCAAAATTCTGAAGGTAGAATCTCGATTAAGCCCTGAACTCCTAGATTAGCGAGCATCGGAGAAGCCATTATCTCAACTTTTCTAGCAACCCGGCGTTATTCTGTACTGACCGAGCTATGTCACGTCAGGTAACTGAAGACAAAGGTTGTTCTGTAATCTGTTTAGAAAGTACAGCAGAACACAGTGTAGGTAGAGTAACTTTATGGCATTTCAAAGGATATTTTCTCGGACAGTGGCTTAGCCTACTCTCTGTAAGTCAAATCAGTATCGTGGTATGAATATATTTATCAAAATAAATTGTCAGATCTGTGACACACACCGCCCTATTGTTATAAGCAATGTGACAGTGGGTCTCACTGCTGGCACAGTACGGTAATAAATGATAATAATAATGTAATTATGTTCACTAAGAAGATATAAATGACTTATTGTGAAGGTCAAAGGTTAAAGTTTGTGTCTAATATTACTTCCTGGATTATATCTGACGAGAAACAGAATCATTTTATTTAATCCCTTTAACAATTAATTTATCAGTTTCACCATGGAAAGGTATTCACAGAAATCACCCAGTCTCTTTAATCACTTATTCATTAGTTTCAGATTGATGTTCCTCTCAGAAATAGAAGATACCCTGATTGTTATAACTAATATAATATTGTCTTCCACATAGAATCTCACATTGCAAACTTCCCAATTCACAATATCTTTCTCTAGTTTTAAAGAACAATATTCAAATCAAACATGTAATTGTAGGTAAATGATACTGTACAACATTTTTCCTTTTTAATACACCATAAATACATCAATATTAATAGGTGAATAATAAACCAATACTCAAATTTGAACCGTTGATTATAGCCCCGTCATATCGGACTGCGACCATCTGCGACCTTACGACGACTGTACATGTACTAGGTCTTGGTTAATCGTGAGGAAAACTAGAGAAAAGTCCCTAAAACTTGCAAACGTAACAGTCGACCTCATACCGCGCGTTATGCGACAATATTGCGTTCTTAAGTTTTTGCAGCGTTTTTATCACGTGTGTCAGATCACAACCTTGCCGTTTGTTTTGAACATGTCCAAAATAAACGCCCTACCTCGGCGAATAGTGTTCTATTCATTAATTGACGTTTAGAAATACTATATTTAACAATGTAATGTTAAACAGTTTGTTTTTATATAATACATTGGTAATTCAAATAAAGCAAGACTCATAGAATCGAGTGCTTCTCAAACATAATATGTTCTGTGTTGCCAAGCTTTATTTGTTAAATAGGTTTTGTCGGTTGACTTGAAATCGGTTTTCAGGAACTAGTCAAAAGGCTGAATATTCATAGAATAAAATATAGAGAAAAACAAATGGTTTTGAGGGTTTGATAAAAGCCAGACTGGTTCAGATTTCTGAACTAAAGTCAATTTTATCAAGATTAATCACTCGTGCAATAATTACCTCTAATCTGCCAATTCATATTTTATCAATCGAGATCGGTATGCTAATTAAACAAGCCTCAGACAGGTCAAATATAATTTTAAAGAAATCTCGTTAAAAACGTACATTTTCAATTTTAAACCAAAACACGTATGCAAAAAAGAGAAAAGAAGGAGACGTGTTAAATATAACGAGCTATATCTGTATGCAATCAAGAGTACATGATCATTTTGTAGTTTGAATCCTTATGAAAATCTATAGTCCATAAGATATACCACAATATAAAACAGCACCATAATAACACTTCCGGTTAGTGCAGATATATGCGTGAGATTTAACAGCTACCCTTTGAACACAATCTAGTCATGACTGTCCAGTAATCTAGTCATGATTGTCCAGTAATCTAGTCATGGCTGTCCAGCAATCTAGTCATGACTGTCCAGCAATCTAGTCATGACTGTCCAGCAATCTAGTCATGACTGTCCAGTAATCTAGTCATGACTGTCCAGTAATCTAATCATGACTGTCCAGCAATCTAGTCATGACTGTCCAGCAATCTAGTCATGACTGTCCGGTAATCTAGTTATGACTGTCCAGTAATCTAGTTATGACTGTCCAGTAATCTAGTCATGACTGTCCAGCAATCTAGTCATGACTCTATAGTAATCTAGTCATGACTGTCCAGTAATCTAGTTATGGCTGTTCGGTAATCTAATCATGACTGTCCAGTAATCTAGTCATGACTGTCCAGTAAGCTAGTCATGACTGTCCAGCAATCTAGTCATGACTGTCCAGTAATCTAATCATGACTCTGTAGTAATCTAGTTATGACTGTCCAGTAATCTAGTCATGACTGTCCAGCAATCTAGTCATGACTGTCCAGTAATCTAGTCATGACTGTCTAGTAATCTAGTCATGACTGTCCAGTAATCTAGTCATGACTGTCCAGCAATCTAGTCATGACTGTCCAGTAATCTAGTCATGACTCTGCAGTAATCTAGTCATGACTCTGCAGTAATCTAGTCATGACTGTCCAGTAATCTAGTCATGACTGTCCAGTAATCTAGTTATGACTGTCCAGTAATCTAGTCATGACTGCCCAGTAATCTAGTCATGACTGTCCAGTAATCTAGTCATGATTGTCCAGTAATCTAGTCACGACTGTCCAGTAATCTAGTCATGATTGTCCAGTAATCTAGTCATGACTGTCCAGTAATCGAACAAAGTAATATGAACAGAAGTGTTACGTCCTTTTGATGATAGACATGCAGTTCGAATGATGAAACTTTAGCAAGGTCAGCGGCATTGGTCAACTGTCTTTTTATTTTCGACTGTTGACACAGCCTGTAGCACATAGATTGGGGAAGTTGTGGTAGCTCTGTATGTTGCCTCATCCGTATAACTAAGCGACTATTCCATGTCAGTCTCTACACAGATAATAAAAGGGTATTAACTAGAACTGATGGTGTAATATAAAGT